TGATGGTTCTAAAACTCCAGTCAGAGCAGTTTTACAATCCAGGTCGGTGCTCCTGGGACAAGTCTGGTCTCATTAAAAATGTTGGGCACCCCTGACATTTTATGATATTGTTGCATGGCTCCATATTCAATAACAGCCTTTAAGGAGTAACAGACGCCAGTGTTTTATAGAGTCGGAAACAAACGGATGAATAAAAACGTCGCTGAATATTACTATTGTTAGCTTTTTAGAATAATCAATTTCATTTTTTTTTTTCTGCTACTGGACACCTGAATATCTCCTACAAGGGATCAATAAAGTATTATCTGTATAAGATGAGTTTATTTTGTCATTATAATGTGAATCTGAACATTGAGACGTTTGACTTTAAATAGCTTAAAGTAGTGGAAAAAGGTGTCGACATCGCTGCTTGAGCGTGTGCCGCTTTGATGTTGATTTGTGTTGTCATTGCAGGTGTTCAGTGGAATCACGTTGACGAAGTTTGGAGGAATCCTGATCCTGGCTTTGTCCAAGTCTCAGATCTTCCAGGTTTTCTACTTCAGGATGTATCTGGCCATGGTCCTGCTCGGAGCCACCCACGGACTCATCTTCCTCCCGGTCCTCCTCAGTTATATAGGTCAGTACATGGATAGATAGATACTAGATGGATAGATAGATAGATATACTTGATACTTGATAGAAACTTGATAGATACTTGATAGATAGATACTTGATAAATACTTGATAAATAGATAAATACTTGATAGATAGATACTTATTGATAGACTGATATACTTGATAGATACCATATTGATCCCCGTAGGTGAAATTCCGGTATCTAGCAGCAGAAACGCATTCATTCATACCCAAAAAAGTTACGAGCAAGTTATTTTCTTATGGAACAGCCTATAGTTTATTGTACTCACACAGTACGCTCTGTTCTATATGTGTAATGCAGTGTTGTATGCGGCGATTCATAGATTAGTAGATGATTCCTGTGTCGTTTTGTGTCCCCAGGTCCTTCGGCCAACAGGGCCAAGGTTGCGGCAGCAAAGCGGAGGGTCGCTGGTACAGAAAGGGAACATCTGTTGAACTATTAATCAAACGCTCAGAGACTTTGACTTTGTAGAGTGGGTTTCTGTGATTACTTACACTCATCGTCATCAGGCTAACTCAGGATTGTACGCTTCAAACTGTGTGGTCTCCAAGACAACGACCAAAAACCAGGACTTAAAGGATATAATGTTTTTTTTTTTGTTCTGGAGCTGGACGTGGACTGAACTGGAAGTAGAAAAATCCTCCTCCTTTCTAAACCTCATTGTTACAAATACAAGTTTGATTTGAAAGTGTTGTATATGCAGAAGATTATTGGGTTTTTTTTAGCAAATGAGAAGAAATAATGTGTGAAGATTTTTTGCCATGTTTTTAAAGCTATTTTAACAGTTTGTTTACTGACTTGAACGGACTTTCATAAATAAACCATGTACAGGCATTGTTGGACATTCGCAGCATTTGCACAAAAAGCAAAAACGGTTCTTTCTGATGTGACGTAGACTGTAAACTCAGCCTTCACTGTTTCTTAGCTCCAACATGTCGTAGATAGCTGCTCTCTAAGCCCAGAATAGGTCTCTACAGGCTGCAGTGTAGGCGGCGTGCATCTCAGTCCAAACTGCTCCCATACTTTTGTTGTGTCTTTAAATCACATTTTCAATTGTATTTGACCAGTTTTTGGTTGTAACGATTTTAAAGAAATGCCTCAAAAATCCTCATGTTTCTCACGTTTTCTCAGTTACTGAAGAAAACTTTTGGTTGTACTCATGTCTGACTTACTCCAGAAGCACCGGGCTTCATTCCAAGTTTGTAACTTATTTTTTATTTCATAATTAACATGTTTGTTGTACGATTTACTTTTTAAACAATCTGTTGGCTTCAATAAAAAGTGACACATTATTATTTTGTCGAGCTGTTCATGAAGGCAAGTTATTTTGTATAGCACAGTTTATATACACAAAGTGCTTGACAAAAAAAAAAAAACACAAGGCATTAAAATCCACTGTTAAAAAGGGAAAATGCATTCATAGTTACTGTAAAATATGCAACTGATGCTAATTCTCAACTCCAATCACTTCAGAGAAACACAATCTTAAACTTACCAACTTACTCCAACATTCAAACACACGCACACACATCACGCTGACTGAAGCTGCATCAGAAAGCTCATTATTTACAAATGGGTAAATCTTGGGTCTGTTTAACGCGGCTTGAGTCTTGTTGTGGACTGTACTTCCTGTACAGAGAAGAAAGAGTGTTCATCAGTTCATGAGCCGAGTCCTAACTGTAGTTCTACATAGTGCCCAGCAGGTGGCGCCTGTGCAGCGCTGTTCTCCGCAGAGAGTGACCTGATTTTTTTACAACAAATTCATCATGTGTCTGCATTTGTGCGCGTGCGTGAGTGTGTGCGTGTGCGTGTGCAGGGCTCTCGCTCACAGTCAGCACAACAGTAGAACCCCCCCAGTCACTGAAACGTGCTGATCTGGATCTTTCCACCGCATAGAGGCCTCTTGTCTCTGAGGATCCGATGGTCTGGTGCCAGGTCTTGGACTGTGTTGATGTTGTGTCCAGTGTTTGTTTTCACACACGGATCCAGCTCATGAGTTATTGATGCTGAGGCCTTTGAGCTCACACTGTCTCTGAGTCTGTCCTGGGACACTCAAATATTCATGTCCCCACAGGTCTGGACTGGAGGGGGGACTGTTACGTAAGAACCACCGCAGTTTGACCTGGTCCTGGTCTGACTCTGGGCCATGAGGTCCAGCCTCAGAGGCGCAGACCACAGAACAGCAGGGGCTTTTGTGACTCAGATGACTTCATATGTTGCAGATTGACACAGAGGAGAAGGGTGGGGCTGAGAGCACATTCTGGTGATTTATTTGTATTTTTATGTCTGGTTTGCTTGTTCTCCCTGTGTCCATATGGAGTTGGTGTTCTGCTGCACGTATGTTTGTAGTCATATGATGCACCTGTATGAACACTTCTGTGGGCACTTACTCCTGCGTTTCATTGTCATTGAGAAAATATATTCAAATATTTATTCCATATGCAGGTGAAACTCAAGTTATTTCATTCAAAAAACGACCTCTGTAATTACTATTACTTTCACAATGGTGAATGCAAATAGTGGCGGTGCGTGACACTGACACCACAACGTGACGGTTGCGTGCGTAAACTCAAACGCTTTAAAATGATGTATCAGGTGCCATTGAACCCAATATTGTTTTTGCTCGAGACGTCAAAAAAACAATCCTTTTTTATTTATTAGGCCCGAGCCCCGAACGGGGTAGGGGCCTATTGTTTTTGCTCGAGATATGTCAAATTCTGCACTTTGAGCCTTAATTTGACCCCCTGAACATGCATGAAAAGTTGTTAAATTTTGCCCAAAAATCAGACCTGGTGAAACATTTGATATTTTGGTGTTATTTTTTTATGGGACTCAAAAGCCAATTTAATACCCCTTTGGGAGTTTCGGAGAGCAAGTTTGTCGTAGAGCCATGAAATTCGGTACACATGTTCCTCAAGTCAAGACTATTATGGCCCCGCCCCCTGACAAACAGGAAGCCCATTAAAAAATGAAAAGCAATTCATTTCATACATGTCGGTTGGAAAGCGACTCCTCCTCGGCCGTTTCACCGATTCGCCTCAAAATTTCTCCACATCATCTCAACACATTGACCATTAAAATGACTTCAGGGAATTTTGATCAGTGAAACCTTGTTTGTGCAGTGGAGCGACAAATAGCTCTCATTTGCACATACAAAGTCTGATTTGTACTAAACTTGACTCGGTTGTTCTTCTCCTGGGCCTGGTTCACCTGAAGGTGTGAAATATTACATTGGCTCTTTAGTGCCCCCTACATACTGAGCTAAAGCTTTACATAGGGAGCCAAACCAACGGATCATATTCATTACAATTTCACGAACATTGTTCTAAGGCTATAGTACGGGAGCAAATTATGGCGCGGCGGCGCCACCTCTGTTGCGCGGTGCGGGGAGTCGCGCGGTGCGACTTTGAAAAAATCATAAAATATTGCTTGACTTGAGTGGTTTTTATCTCAATCTGAGCACATTATAACTGTGAGAGAGACCAGAGAGAGATGAGGGAGAGAGACCAGAGAGACTTGAGAGAGAAGAGAAGGAAAGTATTTAGAACCTAATGATCAAACATTTGCAAGATAGACAAGGAAAAACCATCTGAGTCATTTTTTACATTTTTTTATTGTCTTTATTTGGAATCTGCTGAACTCCAGAGATGTTTGTCAAACACAAGTGCATTAGTACAACATTTGTCTAAACCTCTAGTTTAGATCCACCACACGGATCTGAACCATCTTACAGCTCACACGCCAGAACAGATCCAAAGTCAAACACACAAACTGAGGCTTGTTGTAGAATCTACACACCTCAAAGCTCCAGAAGCACAAACAGCCGAACAAACTCTCCAGTACATTCCCCTAATTTGCATCTTCTTAAAGCTTATTGTGGACAACCCAAACCCAACCTGGCAACCCCCATGGTGTTCCATTTGCTGAGAGTGTCAGCAAATGGAACGCTCAAATTTCAGTTATCTATTTAACCAGGAACGGCCCACTAAGATTTCAGCATCTCTTTTTCAGGGATGTCCTGGCCCAACAGAGAGGGAAGCTATTGTGCATGTTTTTAGTGGTAGGGGAAACCGGAGCACCCGGAGGAAACTTACGCAAGCACAGAGAGAACATGCTAACTCTACTCAGAAGGGCCCTGTTCCGACTGAGATTCGAGCCCAGGACCTTCTTGCTGAGAAGCTCGAGTGCTAACCACTCTGCTACCGTGCCGCCCACAGTGATTTAAAGGCGCCCTTTGTCTCGCTGTCTCCATCTCGCCGTCTCTATCTCGCCGTCTCTCTAAATGTACTGGCTGATCCAGACTGAGACCTCAGCCACACCTCCTTCTGAACCAGCCGGACCTCCCTGATCTACAACATGGTCTGGACTGAGACACAGACTCGTGTTGAGAGGCTATTTTGTGTAGAATTTACAACATCTGCAGGTGTTTGTGTTGCCCACCTCAAAGCTCCAGAAGCACAAACAGCCGAACAAACTCTCCAGTACATTCTGCTGATTTGCATCTTCTTAAAGCTTATTGTGGACGACCCAAACCAAACCTGGCAACCCTCATGGCGTTCCATTTGCTGACACTCTTAGCAAATGGAACGCTCAAATTTAAGTTATTTATTAAACCAGGAACGACCCACTGAGACTTCAGCATCTCTTTTTCAGGGAAGTCCTGGCCCCTCAGTGAGGGGGGCTTTTGTCCATGTTTTTCGCGGTAGGAGAAACTTGAGCACCCGGAGGAAACCGGACCACACGGAGGAAACCTACGCATGCACGGGGAGAACGTGAAAACTCTTCTCAGAAAAGCCCTGTTTCAAACAGGATTCGAACCTAGGACTTTCCTGAGAAACCGTGCCGCCTGTAGTGATGAACTTAAATTCTTTTACACCTGGAGTTTGCAGCTGAGTCCTTGCGTTGAGTTTTCTCTCGTAATTCTTCAGCTCGCTGTTTCTCCTCTTAAACGGCCTGGTCTTTCTGGAAGAACGTTTGGACCAGCGTTCTAACGGTCTCACCGGGCCCCCTGTTTTGCTGTATCTCCCCTTGAACGGCTTGGTCTTTCTGGGAGAACATCTGGACAAGTGTCCTAATGTTCTCACTGAGCTCCCTGCGCACCTGTCTATAGTGTGTGCAATCTGGCTGATTTTCAAACACACTTGTATTGCTAACTGTTGCCTCTACCTCTGTCTCGCTCTCTACCTTGCCCTCTACCTCTCTTTCTACCTCAGTCTCCATCTCTGTCTCGCTCTCTATCTCGCTTTCTATCTCTGTCTCTAAATGGGCTGGCTGATTTAGCGGTACCTGTGGCCCAGTCTCTGTCTGATTATCAGACGTCATGAGTCCATCACCCTCCATCAGAGTCTCGAGCTGACGCTCTTTCTTTGGTAGAGGCTTCTGACGTTGGGCCTCCTTCCACTGCTCCACTTGCTCCTGCGCCAAATCCAATGAACGCCTCCTACTGGTCTCTAACTGATCTTTTACCTCAGTTACTTCCTGCCGCAGTGCCGATATCCGTTCATCTCTCATCCTCAGTTCTATCTCATTCTCGCCCTCTGTCTCGCTCTCCATCTGTACGACGTATGACGGAGAAGGTTGGTTTGATAACTGGAACAGCAGCTGTCGGTGGGCTTGTTCCCATTTTGCTGATCGCTCGTTTGCCAAACCCAATGAACGCCTCGAACTGGTGTCTACTGCCTCTAACTGATCTTTGACCTCAGTTACTTCCTGCTGCAGAGCCAAGATCTGTTCATCTCTACGCTTCAGTTCTTCTTGAGCTCGGTCAAGCTGCTCTTGAAGACTCTCCCACTCTGCTCTTTTCACTCTGGCCTCTTCTGTGTCGCTTTCTGTGTCGCTTTCTGTGTCGCTTTCTGTCTCGCTTTCTGTCTCGCTTTCTGTCTCGCTCTCCGTCTCGCTCTTGGAAGTCCAAGGAAGGAGAACCCTCAATTTACCAAAGATAGATTCAGATCTCTCTGTCTCGCTTTCTGTCTCAATTTCTGTATCGCTCTCTGCCTTTATCACTCTCTCTCTCTCTCCCTCTCGCTCTCTCCCTCCTGTTTTCTGTTTTGTTCTCCGTCTCTGAAGCCCATAGACCGAAAAAACTCCAGTTACTTAAGAAAGATTTAAAGCGAGGCAGATAGCTCCCTGTCTCGTTCTCTGTCTCGTCCTCTGTATCGTCCCCCATCTCTATTACTACATAATCCAGTGATATCTGACAATTGTTCTTTCCGCATGTTTGTGAATTACAAGCATGTACACACGGATTACCACTCATTCTGTTAGTATTTGTGTGCTAAGTTAAATACTAACAGGTTGATTAAAGATGAGAAGTAAAAGTAAGTCTTTGCCTTATCTGTGAAAAAATATGTATCTCTTGCTGCTATCTCTTGCTGCTATGAACACCTTGGGAGGTTGGGATTTACTTCGATGCAGTGTCTAGGACTCTAGGCCTACATTCACATAGTAAATTCTGGAGTTCGGGAACCTTGTTGCGTCATCCGCTTGAAAGTTGGTGCCATAGCAACCGTTACCATGGAAACCTGTCATGGCAACGTCCAGTGAGAAATATCACAAAATAAACAAGAGGATTGAAGAGAGGTCTAAACCAAGATTTGCCAACGGGAAAAGAAAAATTATCTTGTTTTAAAGAGATACAAGAAATGTCTCCTTCGGAATTAAAAAATAAAGCTACATTTCTTGAAAGAAGACTAAATGGCTTTGTCCCGTTGGAGAATCTAGTTTTAACACTGTCGTAATGTGCTCAGATTAAGACAAAATAAACTTGAATTTAAGCATTTATTTGGTAAAAAATGCAAGGCAACCAGTATGTGTCATCCTCCTACCCCTCCTACCACCTCCAACCAGACTCATTCTAAGTACTACTACTACTACTACTACTACTACTACTACTCTTATACTGCCTGCCTTTCTCTTTACAAATGTTGCTGTTTTTGATGTGTATTTTCTAATGGACTGTACAACTGTAACATTGAGAAAGACATAATATGAATATTACAATCTTAATTGGGCATATACACAATGCAAACATAACATTAAGAGCTTATTGCAGCTATGGTTGCATTAGCCTGGTCTTACCATACTATGATAACAGGTGGGAGGGGTTAACTCCTTTTGCAGATTGAAACAATTGGATCTGAGTTTACAGTGACGTATGTAATGCGCCCGAGTGAGTGAGGCATTTAGCCTAGCTTTAGCATTTAGCCTAGCTTTAGCATTTAGCCTAGCTTTAGCCATCTCCTTTGCCACTGGCAGAGCCCTTTGTCAGCTATGTAACTTGCTGAACATTCCTCTTGCTTCTTGCTTGCCTCTCCTCCTTCAACTTCTTCTCCTTCTCCTCCTTCTTCTTCTTCTTCTGCACAGGCCTCAGTATCAGTACAATTCTACAAACATGCACAATTTTTACTGTAACACTTTGCAAATGAGCAAAGAGAAGCGACCGGCTGAGAAATGTCCCACTTCTCATTCCGGTTAAAAGTTAGTGACGGAGAGATGTCCTCGACTGAACCAATTACTCTGGAATAGAGGCTTAGAGTTTCCCTCAAAGCCGATCCAGGTTTTCTCTTCTTTTTGTATGAAATCTACCTCATTGGAACATCTCTGTCACTTGGTTTTAGACACTTTTACATCAAACTGCATCTCAGCCATTTGTTATAAGTAATAAAAGCTTAAATTTGAGTGTTAATTATTTTTAAAAACAAAATTTTCCAACGGGACAAAGCTGTTTAGTCTCATTTCAAGAACTGTTGCTTTATTCTGTAGATAATGTTTCTGTGGACACATGTACTGTACCAGTAAATGTAGTTTGTGACAGGCAAGACAAGTTTAATTATATGGCACAGTTCATACAAAAGGCAACTCAAAGTATTTAAGGAGATCACATGAGGCATTCAAATCAGAAATAGTCACAGTGCATTAAAAAGAGTGAAGAGTACAATCGGCCAGGGGCCAGGGGAGGCCAGGGAGAGGGCGAGAGACCGGAGAGAGAGCGGCCAGAAAGAGACCAGCGAGAGGCCAGAGAGAGACCAGAGAGAGACCAGAGAGAGAGACCAGAGAGAGAGACCAGAGAGCGGCCAGAAAGAGACCAGCGAGAGGCCAGAGAGAGACCAGAGAGAGACCAGAGAGAGAGACCAGAGAGAGAGACCAGAGAGAGACCAGAGAGATACCAGAGAGAAACCAGAGAGAGAGACCAGAGAGAGACCAGAGAGAGAGACCAGAGAGAGACCAGAGAGAGACCAAGAGAGAAACCAGAGAGAGAGACCAGAGAGAGAGACCAGAGAGAGAGACCAGAGAGAGACCAGAGAGAGAGACCAGAGAGAGAGACCAGAGAGCGGCCAGAAAGAGACCAGCGAGAGGCCAGAGAGAGACCAGAGAGAGACCAGAGAGAGAGACCAGAGAGAGAGACCAGAGAGAGACCAGAGAGATACCAGAGAGAAACCAGAGAGAGAGACCAGAGAGAGACCAGAGAGAGAGACCAGAGAGAGACCAGAGAGAGACCAGAGAGAGAGACCAGAGAGAGACCAGAGAGAGACCAGAGAGAGACCAGAGAGAGACCAGAGAGAGAGACCAGAGAGAGACCAGAGAGAGACCAGAGAGAGAGACCAGAGAGAGACCAGAGAGACCAGAGAGAGAGACCAGAGAGAGACCAGAGAGAGAGACCAGAGAGAGAGACCAGAGAGAGAGACCAGAGAGAGAGACCAGAGAGAGACCAGAGAGATACCAGAGAGAAACCAGAGAGAGAGACCAGAGAGAGACCAGAGAGAGACCAGAGAGAGACCAGAGAGAGAGACCAGAGAGAGACCAGAGATAGACCAGAAAGAGACCAGAGAGAAACCAGAGAGAGAGACCAGAGAGAGAGACCAGAGAGAGACCAGAGAGAGACCAGGGATAGACCAGAAAGAGGCCAGAGAGAGAGACCAACCAGACTTACTGTAGATAAAAGTAATCTCTTTAAAATCCAGTCTTTTATTTGCGGATCATAAAGATATTATTTATTCTGTCTTTACCCGAATAAACAATATGTTTTCCATCCATCGACTTCTTAAAAAATTGAAATATTGACATACAAAGAAATTGAGTATTAAGATACTTTATTTGTTGCCACAGTGCAGAAATGTCAGTGTTGCAACACATGTGACCAAACAGGAGATAAGAGGAGCACAAAATATTTAGTTAAGTTAAAGAAGCTATACCCGATTTGTTTTCTAAGTAGTTCATAAAAATGCTTTTTACTACATACAAGTTGTATCATAATACATAATTTAATTGAAAACTTGAGGTCATTGATTCAGCTGTGTATGAAATTCAGGCCGTGAAAAGTGCTGAGTAGAGTCTTAGCGGGCCGCTCGTTCTCCTCCCCTCACAGAACGAGCAGCGACCAGCCTGCGTCCTCTAGTCTCTACAGCGCTGCTTAACACCAGGGCTTCGACTTCAAAATTCGAATATAATTCTAAAATAATATATATATATATATATATATATATATATATATATATATATATATATATATATATTCGAACAAATATTAGACAGCCCTTATAATTCGGAATGTATTTAATGACTGCAAATAAAATAGTTAGCTCCCAAAAGTTTCACCAGGACGTGCTAGGCAGGTAACAGCTAAGCTAGCTAGCTGTTTCATGGTAACTTCCGGGTTTTTCGCGATCGCTTTTTGTCACGTTAAAACAGTATGTTTGTCATGAAAACGTTGACAGCAAATTCTGAAATCGTCCGTGCATGTGTGTTAAGGATGTATATGTATACTGTACTGTCCGATTAACGTTTAATGGTGTTGATTGATAGATATGTATTTGTTTATCGAGCGTGGCTAGCTGCGCTAGCTTCTCTACAAAGACAAGTGTGCAGAAAAACTGCACAATGTAGTGACAGGCGCTGATAGCTTGTTGTACTTGCAAAGTAATGGCAGTATTTAACACACCTGAATTACAAACAGAGACTGCATTGGGGCTGCGGTCATTATTGATTAGAGAGTTCTGTTATCAAGAAAAAATGATCGGAAGAATTGCATTCAAGTCAATGGAGTGCTGCTGCTGTGAGGAGCTGTATAATAAATTATAATTAAATATTAGAATATATTCTGATGTTTAAATGAATACATTCGGACACGAAACTAGCGGTATTCTTTTACTTATATATTGTGTTAGCAGTGCATTGCTTTTGTACCATTTCATCAGTGATTGTTGCACAGCTTACAAGAAGTTGCGCTAATGCTAATGTTAGCATACGTATCAGATCGCAAATAAAACTAGGTGGCTCCGTGGGATGAGAGCGTAGGGGAAATGAGAACTCTGTGAGCGAGTTGGGGGGCGGTGCTAAACATTCAAACATTGCAGAAACGGGTATAGCGCCTATTTAGTTAGTCCAAATGAATCACAGTGTATTTCTAGTCTATTTTTTTCATCTGTGTGCGTCATTTGTGTCTCTTTTTGTGGCGTTCAGACCAAAATTGAATTGAGCGGCCAAAGCGGCGGGTTTACATTGAAAATACATGGGGGACGCGCGCCGAAGAGCGGCGAGAGATCACGCGGCGCGTTTCGACGCGGCCGCCGCTAGAGTTGAACATTGTTGAACTTTTTGGGAGAAGACGCAAGCCTCGACCAATCAGGAGCTTTCTCTAACAGTGACGACAGGACCGAGGGGGAAGACAACACATCAGCTGTGGAGGACAGGCTGTGCTGTCAGCCCCGCGGACTAAACTACTGTGACACGGAGGAGGGCTAGTGAGGAGGTTGGTGTCTCGGGTTATTTAAAGCTGCACTAACTGACTTTATTTTCGTATTCATTACGAAAATGCTATCCATGTCCATGTAGTGCATTGGGATATACGTCCTTTTGAAGAATAATTAGCGCAGATTTGTGCTGGCGTGACATTATATTTTAGATCGAGTTTTGATGAAACAAGGAAGAGAATGTGTTTCGGGTCACAGCGGACCAATAGCCCCCACTTTCGTGAGAAATCTACAGGTCCATTAGCATAGACGGCTGAGTTAGCACAACAAGCGGAGGAGCTAACCTGAAGCTTCGTGTCTTCATCACCGGTTACTGCTTACACAGCGAAACAGCCATCCAAAAGAAAGTCCCATTCCTCCGCGCTTCCTGGTTCTATCGTTTTATGGTCACGCCATCCACGTGCAAATCCATATCCATGTATTATCCATATTGGGAGACACTAGCTCCGTCCCAACAGTGAGTGTGTGTGGGGGGCGATAGCTTCGTGGGTGCGGGGAGGGGAGCAGAAAGAGAGAGGCCAGCGAGTCCGCGGCTTCAAAATCCCAAAGTCAGTTAGTGCAGCTTTAAGTTATTTAATCTTTTCACAATCGTTTATACTTCCCTGTGCAAAATCTGTAATGTCACAGGGAGAAACAAACCCACAGATTATAGCTACACAGAGGAAACAGTCCATGGAGACAGCAGCTATAGTATGCTAACATGTAGTATGCTAACATGTAGTATGCTAACATGTAGTATGCTAACACTGTTATCTGTATTCATATTA